TGTGAAGTGATTCCTAATACAGAGTTCTTAACTGGATCCTTTGTCAGGTCCATTTAATTCAAAATAGTTTCAGCTTTATAAATGCAGGTATTCTGATCCTCATCTTATGTAGGTGGCCACAGCTACCTTAAATCAGTGAATCTACACCCATTTGCCACAGCAGATGATCTGGCCAAAAGAGTCAGATTCGGCACTCACTAAAAACAGATTTGTCTTAAGGAAACTTTTCTACTTGTACATTTGAGTGGTCCCAAGGTGAATAAAGTGTTTTAAATCAATAGGAGTATTTCTAAGGGAAAAAAAATCAGCAGCCAGACCCTATTTCCCAGCAGCCCCAGCTCCTGGCTGATCTCCATGAGTGCAGGGGTGTGACAGCACAGACCCATGACAGTGCGGAGCCAGGCCAGCCGGGGCAGAGCTCTGGTTTTGCAGCCCTACGCTGTCATGCCCCTGCAGTCCTGGGGTCTGTATGGAGACTGCCTGGGAGCCAGGGCTGCAGGGAAATGGAGTCCACCAGAGGCCTAATCTGACCCATGGGCCAGACTTTGATGACCCCTGTACATCTGCTTACATGCCTGAGTGCGATCCTAATCGACTATGCTCAAGTCTCTAAAAAAACCATATCAATAAGCCTACTTTTGTAACATACTGTATCTGACCCTTACAACTGACTCACAAAAAGCAGCTAGTAGGAGGAGGACACACCTACCTTTTACCTTAATTGTTTTTCAAGCCCTTGAGCAAGGTGGAATACAGTCTTGCTTAGGTGCTTAAAATCCACTACAGGCAGTCCTCGACTTACAACCTTTCGAGTTACAGTGTTTCGCACTTACAACATTTATAAATTGACACCCTCTTTCAACTTTCTGATGCCAGTTTTGACTTTACAACGCTTGTTCTGACATGATGCCATGCCAGTGAATAAGTTCACCGCATCGCCCATCTCCCTGGAGAACATCTGACCAACCGTCCTTGCACACTTTCTTTAAGAAAGCAGACAAAACTCCAGAAAAACCTGCAGCCAAGACTCCTGAGAAGACTCCAGCCAAAAGCCCTTCAAAAAGTCTAGCAAAGTCACCTCAAAAAAAGTCCTTCCAAATCAATATGAGTGCTATTTACAATATAAATACATTAATGTAGCTATATTACTCATCTATAATTGATTAAGTACAAAATTCTGGGTTATTTTTGGTGAAAATAGGGTATCGGGCCTTGGTTCAGTAACCAATCCCCCATTTATAATGTTGTTTCCTAGGGGAAAATCGGTTCTGAGTTATAATGTTTCAACTTATGATGCAGTTTTCAGGAACTAATTGTGTCATAAGTCCAAGGACTGCCTGTATTAAGCATCTAAGGCCATGTGTAGATGAAATGAAGGGCGTGTGTGCATGACACTTTAAAGCGGGCGAAATGCTTTTGCACCGCATTAATGGTGTCGGTGTTTGCATGCCTTGGTGGCGTATTGCACATTAATTCCAGCCACTGTAGGAAATTTGGCAGCGTAATGCACCTTAAATGACTTGGGGCGCAGCAAACTAAAACTCCTCTGAAGATTTTTAGTTTGTTTTAGTTTGCTGCCCTTACAGCCATGGAGCGAAGCACTGCGCTTTGCGCAGGTCCACGGCTCTTCAGGAAGCCCTGCAGGCATGCTGGCAGCATCCTGGGAGAGCAGCTCTGCCCAAGAAAAGCGGTGAGCCTGATCTTTTTTTTTCCCCCTTGGAGCCTGCCTGCCTGCCTGAGCTGTGTGGGGGCCCGGTGCTTCCCTCTGTGGCTGCGGTACCCCCCGGGACTGCCCAAGCCAGGTGCCTGTGTGCGGGTGCCACCTGGGGGCAGGGAAAGCACCAGCCCCCCTTCCCCCTCCCCCCCTGCAGCCCAGGGACTGTTCTGCCTGCCAGCAGCTCGCCCTCCCTTCCCCACCAGAGAGGTAGGTAAGTCAGCGGGGTGTGTGCATGACACGGGAGTTTAATTGTTCCTAAACTGAAGTGGTGTTTTTTTAAAACCCACCGCTTCAATTTAGGGCCCCCATTTTGTCTACATACACCCTAAAAGGCAGAGTAGGATCTGGGCCTAAGATTTTATTCATAAACACAACCACAAAGAACAGATTTTTTTTCAAAAGACAACTTCAGTTGACAATGTCCCCAACGATGCCCCTAAGTAGAGAGAGATTTTTTTCACCTTTTGGGAGAATGGACTCACTTCTTTCTCCCATTAGATACAGTGATAGAACTGATCTGTGCCTGTTATGGGCTTTGGCACGTTACCTTAAAAACATGATAAAGGCCTTTAAAATGAGAGCAGTCTTTGGTTAAGAAGTGCTAAATCAGCATAAGTACCTTGTAAATGTTTCAGTTATGCCACTCCAGCTGAGGTTTATCTTTGATTTGTTTCACCCAGGCCATTCTGGGATATTATATGCATGCTCTGGGTCAATAAAATGTCTTATTTTCATTCCTCCAGCATCCCAGGATGCTCTGCAGGAATGGAATTCCAACCTTACAGACTGATATAGATTGGCAGACTGTTTTGCTTTGTCTTTGATAGAATACATTCCCTCCCATAGTTCTCTGTTTTTCCCCTAATATATTTTAGCATAGCAAGCTACAAGCAAGACAAAGCCTTAATTTTGCAGCAATGCTCTATCTGCTGTTATCAGCATAACCAGCAAAAACCACTGAGGCTTGAGGCGCAATAAGAATTTAACATACAGGGAGAGCTCTTCAGTTTTTATGGCATACCATCAACAGGGGGAGGACAGAAACCCACAGTGAAGTACAGAGCCATGTTAAAAAGTGTGTAATCAGTACTACACTCACACAACAGCTGCTGGTTATTGTAATTTCTACCCCAAATTGGGAGAGCAGTTAGAGACAGCACCATATGTAACAGAACCTTCTCCTGGCTTAGGAGTCAGAAAGACTTAGCTTTTATCCTCTATATGAACTAATACAATCCTCTTATGTGGTTATTCTCATTCAGTTAAAAGTCATTGGAGCTTATTAAGGAGCCATGACTAGCTGTTTTGGCTCAACACATATAAGCTGAGCAAAACACTACTTGGGATAAAGTAATCAAATGGGTTCTTTTAAAATGTTAATAAAAAGGTGTTTTACTTTTATTGACACTTGCATTGGAAGTTACATGTAAAAAGAAATGGAGAAAGAAAATTCAGCTACTGAGTTCCTGCTTGCTACCCTGGATAGCAAGAAGTAGAGCCCTGGATATTATTACTGTAAGGATTGGGTTCTAGGTAGTCTAGCCTAGTATTTAGGCCACTCAGGAAGAACAGGAGCTAGAATCTAAGGTCTAGACCCAAGGAGGAAATCCAGAGGCAAAGTCCAAGTTACAGACCAAGTCAGACTGGATTACTAGATTCACAGGGGATTTTCAAAATGTAAAAAGCCAGAAACAGAGCCAAGCAAGGCCAGAAAACCAGCAAGCACAGGCTTATCACAGCAGTCCTATTGACTGTCCTGCAGTCTACTGCCACAGGCAGGACTAAGTGGGGAGGCTGCTCCCCCAGCAGCCAATCAGGATGTCCAAACCGTGACCAGTTGGTTCATTGGCTGAGGTAAGGCTGCCAGTCAGAGCCTTCGGGCTAAATAGTTTTGGGTGGGCCTTGTGTTGGGGTCCCTGATACTTATTGTGGTGTCAGAAGAGATGGTGCAGGGAGAGAAGGAAATTAGGGAAAAAAGGAAAAGGACCATGACAGGAAGACATGGAATCCACCCAAAAAGAAACTGTTAAAGTTCAGAACGCAGGCTCAGGGATCCCAAAATGATCTAGTCTTAGATGACGTGCTGCCTCATTTGTGGGTGGCACCAGGGCTCTCAGCCTTATAGAGCTTGTAGCCTTGGGTCTAGTGAGAGCTTCCTGGTGACTACCTATAATGTAACTCAGGGGGTCCAGTTAGGACAGCAGTCCTGCACACTGCCTTTTTGGGGGTATAAAGATAGCCATTGTGGCAGCCAGTAGCTACTAGCCTGTGTGGAGCTGCCCCCCAGGACACAGAGCTGCCCTGTTCTGCCTCGGGTGGCCATGGCTTGGTTCCTGGCGTCACTGAGCAGGTTCAAGGGCACATTCATGCTTGCTGCAGTCTGACTGTTGGCTGGGGCTATCAGTGGGAATCCAAAAGTAGCACTCTCCAGGTGGTTCGAGCTTTTTAATAAAATCAACCAGAAAGAGTAGAAAAGTTCTGCTAATGGTTTTACAAAAAATGAGAAAATGAAATTGCCATGCCAGGCTGTCTATATTAAATTAAAACATGTTCTCAACACACATTGCTCTCATGAAATATAATAAGGTAGCTCCATCAACCTATTTTAGCCTGAGGCTGTTGTTAGCTGCTACCATAACTAGACAGCTTTTATAATGAGGTTCTATCAATGCCTTTATTAACACACTACTTCAAATGTTTACAATCATCATCTCTCCATGAAAGGAGCCCAGTTTCTTTTGGAACCAGATCAGAGTTGCAATGCACAACTTGCTTACCATATACAATACTGTCTTACCTTTTAAACCCAGGTATGAAATCCATTGTACAATGGATTTCATAAGAATGAAGAAATAATACTTGCTTCTGAAACATTCCGGACTTTTTTTTCTAATTTTCTCTGGTCTGAGCATCTTCTCTTATGTAAGAAGAAATATACATTAGCACTTTAAAATGTCTTTGGTGAACACTAGTGTGTTTCTGGAGGTCAGGAATCCTGGATTCTGTTCCTGACTGCAGGAGGGGAGTGTGGGCTAATGGCTGAGTGGTGGTCAGATATAAGGTACCAAAAGTACACAAACTTTGGATGTTTGGCTGAAGAGCCAGTATGTCTGAGCAGCAAAGAGTTCAAGCTTTGAAATTTAAGATGCTTTCATTTCTAAATCTGCTTCAAGTAACCTTGCGCAACCTCCATTGACATTTTTATAGAAAGGGGAATGGTGGCACTTGACAGTCTTCTCAGACTGAAATATAAGCCCTGGATGTGATTCTGTTCAGCGTGTCAATGCTCAGAACACTGATCTTCTTGTTCCTCCTCCAAGCTGTGGGGGTGAGTGTTGTGCTGGCTCACTGATGTTGCTTCCTCCTGCTTCTAAGCCTGTGTGGAATAGAAGCAGTAGCTGGGGATGATAACAGGCAATGGAGAGCAATGGTAGAATGGAAAGACCGGGCTTCCCAAGCAACTTTTTAGGCTGCCTCAGTCCCTGATTTGGATTGTTTTTATGGCAAGCACACCTTAGCTTTTCATATGCAAAGAGAAAGAAATGCCAGAGAACTCTGTTAAAAAAACCCTATTTTAATAATGAATATTAACAGTAGGTAAAAAAAATGCCTAACTTGAAGCTGTTCTACTTTTCCAGGTATTCACCACAGCAGATGAAACAAATCAAATTTGCTGTCAATTTGCTTTTGAGTCAAGCAGTTGATATAATGTAAGATGGTGTCACGTATACTTTATGTACTGCCAAAGTTAAAAATGTTACTTGTAAAACAGACTCCTAATTTACATGCTAATAACCGCAAAATGCTATTTTCAGATTCTGAGTTCCACAGAAATATCGTTTTGTTTGTTTGTTTAAACTTCAAATCTCCCAGATAGAAATCCTGGGCAGGACAGTTAGAATTTAAATCTAGATTTTCTAATAGCATTCTTCATACTAGAGCACTTGCATCTGTTCTTAATTCACATTTGCAGATTTCTTACAAGCAGTGAAACAATATGGCCTGCAATCAATGGTAAATCCAAGGGACTGTTTGCTAGATCTATATGTATAAATTCAATTCAGTTGAAAGAGCCATGTTTCTACCTGAAGTTAATAGTAACTATACCAAAGAATCATGAATGTGATTTAGAACCTTAATACTACCTTTGTCGGTTATACATATAATTTTTATTCAGAAACAACATATTAAGATCATATATGGCTATATATGGGAATATACGCTAATTCAAACCAAATAAGAAAAGCAGAGAAACACCAGTGGCATGCTTTTGAATCTATATTGTGCTCAAACCTAATTACCCTTTCACAGACATCAGACATGGAAAAGTCCCATCAAGTGAGTATATCCATTCCACTATAAGATTTTTTTCCCCTGCAATATATTTAATGATTTTCATGATTTAAATGACTCCAACTATGGTCATTCTTTTTATTTTTCCTTGGAAGGTTATTTAACAGGTTAATAGAATTTATGATTAAGATGTAATACTTGTTATTCATTCTGACTTTTGCTTTTCTGTGTTTCATCTTCTCTTTCCTTTTCAGAGCAATAGATTTATTTGAAAGCAATCTCAAACTGCAATCTGTGTGGCTCAAGGAGAAGTGGAGCTGGCACCTGGGAATTGTGGGGGGCAGCATTCCCTCTAAGCTGTGTGGTGTGCACGGCTGCGCAGGCACCCTGGCAGAGCAGCATGAGCACGACTGTGCGGCCATGCACGCCACATCTTAGAGGGAATGCTGGGGGAAAAGGGGGTGCTTTAATTAGACTGGCTCCAACAGTTGCTCTAATTAACGTGCCCAGAGCGTCTCGTGTATCAGCATCCCCATGCTTCAAAATGGCAGAAGGGGTGCTTTAGCTAAAGCTCTCAGAGCCAGTCTAATAAAATCACCCACCGCCACCCTGAGCATGTGTATAAAGGCCCCTTCTATTTTTAGATAAAGTGCCCCTACCACCATTTTGAAGAAGACCCAAGTTCAAGCAGTTTAGAATATGTTAAGTGCCCTTGTCATGCTGCTAAATTGTTCCCTTTTAGGTGAGGGTAATCTCCTAACACCTAAATTTAACAGGTCACTACATTCCAATGATTTGCAACTGTTGCAAGTGATTTTGTGATGACAAGGCCCTGAGACAAACAAACCTTCTGGGGTTATTATGAGAAGCAAGATCTGCCTACATCACAAACATGAGACAATAGGATGTTAGCTAAGATATATATATATACACACATATCTTTTATGTTGTAAAGCTGTACTCTTACCACTAAGTAAAAAGACTTTTGACTTGGAAAAAGAAAGCTTTTGGTCATTAACTACTAATTGTCACAGAGTCATAAAGGAAAACACTGCAGGTGGCAAGTCAAGCAGATTAATAAGGTGAAAAGCAGTTGACACACACAGTATTATATGTAGGTTCTGGTATCAAAACAGGAGACTTGCAAAATTCTATCCCCAGATAGGTAAAGATAGGAGGCCTAAAATTGGAAAATATGCACGAAGAGAGACCAGAAAGAGAGATGAAGCCATACCAGTATCTAAAAATAAAAATTTGATACGAGTAAAATTAAACAGGTTACAATGGGGTGTTTTTACACGTGCTCCGGGGGTGGGGGTTTCATGGGTGACTGCTACCTCTGGAGTTGGGGGGGGGGGATGTGCCCCCCTGACACCAGTCAGCGACTGGGGAGAGGGGGTCCCCTGGCAGCTGATCTCACTGACCAGGGCAGGGGATCCCCCCCGTGGCTGATCTCACTCACCAAAAAGCGGCTGCTTTTGCTGGCAGCCCTGTTCCCCAGCTGGCGCCCACAAGGGGGCACTGGCGCTTCAGCCTGCCCCCCTGCCTGTCACCTAAACAGGGAACGTGGTCTGACAGGGGGTGCACCTGCGCTCTCAGGGGGTGCATGTGCACCCCCTACCCATCGCCAGTGGGGGTGGGGGTGCTTTAATTAAAGCACCCACAGTGTCTCGTGTATCAGCATCCCTGTGCTTCACAATGGCAGCAGGGGTGCTTTAACTAAAGCTTGTTTGATGAACTTTAGTTAAAGTACCCCCGCCACTATTTTGAATCACAGGTATACCGATATACAAGATGTGGAGGCTGGCTGGAGCACACTAATTACAGCACGTCAGAGCAGCCTCCCGGCATGTCTACAGGTGCCCAATGTAATGGATTCATAGTTCTATTTGAAGCATTTTCAAGTTCCTGATGATGCGGAACAAATGTTAGTTACATATTTCAGTTAGGCCCCTAGCAGTTGTCCAACTAAATGTAGAATGGGATCAGATACACAATCCTCACAATCTCTCTGTCATGCCACACATGCATGGCAGGAGGTGTGATTGTGGGATCAAGCATCAGGTCCTATCATGCCATATTGCTGGTGTAGGAGGAGCTTGGGATCCTGCACTGACAAGTAGAAAGCTCCTGCACCTAAGAGCTTTGACCAGCTGATAGGGCTCCCATTTGTGGACGTGTACCATGCATTCCCGTGGCTGATCCAAGCTCCCAGCTGTGGGAGCACATGGTGTGCCCCATGGCTAGGAGCCCAGATCAGCTGATCTGAACTCCCAGATGCAAGGGGAAAGGGGGGAAAGTGGAGCCCTTCATCCCAGCTGCACCCTGAAGGATGGGATCCCTGATATGCTACTGCTGCTCCCAGCTAGGGGGCAAAATTTGAGTCAAGGACTCTGATGCCTCCCTGCACCTGTGAGTGACAGCTAATCATGTCTCCCAGCCTTGGGAGCACATGGGAATCAAAGGCTGCCATGAACTCTGAAGGCTGGGAGCCCCAGTCGGCCTGGCCAAATGTTCAATTAATGGTATGATAGGAATCAACCACAAAGCTATCACACATTTTGTGTAATAACTTTGTGGCTCTTACTCCTTTTTCTTTTATCATGCCATTAATTGCATTAATGTGTGGCTGGGGGAGATGTGATCTCCTGGTTAATTACATCTGAAGTGTAATGTGTGCGATGTGATTTACTGGTTAATTACATCTGAAGTGTAATGTGTGCCCAGGGCCTTAGACTTTTATGTAAACTGACAGGATGCTTAATGACTTAGAAAATAATAAAAATAAAAGATATAATATAAAAATTTCCATGCTCTGCTTGTCTTTGTGTAGGCATGTATGTAGGCCCCAAGATAAAAGGTGACAATTGCTTGGTGCTAATTGCCTGGGGAGGAAAAAAACAAACCCCAAACCTATCTGCAGTATCAATAAAGATTTTTTTTTATTAATTACATGTAACTGTAGACCTCTACAGATTGACGAGCTGTTCAGCTCAGTTGATTGGAGAGTTCTGCATTTATACTAAGATTGAAGGTTTGATCCCAGGTTGGACTAGGTCATCTATTGGGTTGCCTATACATGTGTTGGGGGTGGGGGTTGTTAATTAAAACAGTTCCTTAACAGCTGCTCTAATTAAAATGTCTCTTCCTCATGTCTATTAAGCCCCTGAGTGTTTAAAAATGGCCATGGGATGCTTTATCTAATCCTCATTTAGCAAGGTTTAGATAATGCACCTTTGCAGCCATTTTAAAACACATGGGGGGGGTTAATACACACGATGGTGAGGTGATGTTAGACCTCAGAGAGTCTGCTCTAATGTGTTCTAATTAGAAAGTGAATGAGCACATGTATAGGCAGCCTTGAAGTCCCTTGCAGCCTTCCTTATCTATGACAAAGATTACTCTCTGTTTACAATCTCTTGGTAAAGAGGAGGGGAGGAAGGAACTGAACAATACACAAAGAAGGAGAGCAGGGCATGGGGAGTTTGAATATATGGAGTAGGATATGTTGTGAAGCTATGGTAAACAGAATATTAATCCCTTGACTAAAAAAATCAGAAATAATTTTATATTGTTGATGAGGATTCAGAGTTTTCTTTGAGGGACTGTGAGAAAAGTTGTGATTGGAGTCAAGATCAGAAGGATGGGAAGGAGGCTATGTGACCTGGGATCATTTCAGGCTTAGTAAATGATACCCAGAAGAAAACAGAGCTTTCTGTGAGAGAAAGCAACACAAAAAAGTTGTGGGGAAGGAAGTCAGAATTTGTGGCTTTTGGGGTGCAAAAAAGCAGACTGGGAGAAGATCACTAACTTCAGTGGACACACACGTGGTTGCTTTAGCACCTTAGAAAAGGCACCTCTGTTTAGGGGCACATATGGATTTGGAGTTTTTGTTCTACGTTGAGGCAGGGCACCTTTGGTGCCTGCCACTTTAAGGGGCAGAACAGGCAGCAGAGCAGCTTGCAGGTGTCTGCACTCCCAATCAGGAGTCACATTGTCATCAGGAGGCCACCTGATTGGGAGTGGGACCAGCTG